TATCCCATAAATCGCTCCCCGGTTACAATCCGCTATGTGCTCGGCAATGTGTGCGTATATATACCTATATAATATAATGAATCGAATCTCATCACGCATCACGCGGAGATAAGAGGAAGGGGAAACGAGTTTATGATATGGCCGCCGCCATGGGCTGCATCTGCTCCCGTGGATTTCTCCCTCTCTATTCACGACTAGCCGTGACCTTGACACGAATCCGCGCCGAGGAATTCACGAGATTAATTCTTCCGAGTAACTTATCGGGAAATTATTATTATTATTTTTTTCTAACGTTTGTTGATTCGCTCTCTCGCGAAACTCCGTTCAGTCCACTCCGAGCTACAATTATGACGCATGAACGACAGATCTCTGATTATTGCAAGTCAAAGAAGAGATATTCAATTCCAAACATCAACGACTACTATGAATCTTCAATTATGATTGGAAAATTGAAAGTTTTGAGATAAATTAAAATGCAGAATTGCACAACAATGGGCTAACAAAATTTAGAAGCGTACAACGAAAAGATTGTATACGTTTTAATTTTGATCAATTTTTAATGCATTCTATACGAGGCTTGAGACTTATATAAAATCTTAGAAATACCTAAATTTGCAGAATTCAAGTATCTGAATTGCAGATTCAGATACTTAACGTTGAAAACTACCATAAGTTTCTACTCGCGAAGACAGATCGCGTCCAAAAGTTTTCCGCGATGAGAAAAGGTCGACTCGGAATTCGCCGAAGGATTTTGGATATAGCTGAAAGTTAGGCCGCGATATTTCTGGGGCGCTGATATTCATCATTCCGCTCGTTTTCTCGCGCTTCGAGCTTGAAACATTAAAGCTAGAATCTAAAATTGAGATTTACGTTCATACCGGAGCGGATGTACGGAGGAATTACTACGCGGCGGCGCGGCGGCAGCGCGGCGGCGGAAAAATGGAAATAATAAATGGAGGCTCTGTGCGCCAAACGGAAGTTCATCGATCCAAAATTATGTATATAACACGTCCGAGAGATGTGCATCCGCGTTCGTGTCACAAGGCGGAGATATGCGTGTGCCGCATGCACAATAGCGAAATACCGCAGATATAATGCTGCCCCATCAGCGCTATCGCTTCGCGCTTCGAGCAAAATTACGATTTCCGCGAAGATCAAATATTCAAAGAATGTATAACCGCGATAATAGGCGATATATCCCGCGCGCGAACATAGTTACGCAAACCACATCTCGCAAGCGGTTATGCTAAGTTTGCTTGATACGAGAACATGCAACCTATATGCAAATTGTATAATTGTGTTAGTATATGTAAGTATATATAGAAACATATTTTCAATCTTAAATATACGGCGCAATAGTATAGTAGACAATTATCACTAATGAAACGTAAATTGGGTACTCAAATTTTGTAAAAGAATTTTCCCTGAAAATTCCCATACGGAAAGAACGATTTTAATAAAAGAACTAAAAATTTTGTTAAAAATAGATGTGAAAATAATTTCTTGTTGAATCATCAAAATAATTTGTTGGAAACTGAAAATGTTGGAAATTTGTTAAAACTGATAAGTATTGCTATAAAATGCTTTGATATTCTAGCAATCACTTAGACTTTTATAAAATTATTTTAATTATTGAACAAAAATTACTTTCAGATCTGGATTCAGCAAAATTGTTCTTTCCGTGCAGGATTTTCCAGGAATTTTATTCAAAGTTTCAGGTAAGATTAGAGAATTTCTCAATACAGCTTTAAAATAAATTAGGCACTAAGAGTTTTAACAACGTATATAGAACTTGATGCGTGAAACAATGTAATCTCCTCGTATGTACAATATATAGTTACATCTCCATATACGAAATTTTTCGAACGTAACGAAAGATTTTGTATGGAGATGGTAACTACATATGTGAAGATTAAATTGTTTCACGCACCAAGTTCTGCGTCATCGGACTCTTAATGCCTGATTTATTATTTCCGGATTTTCGTTTTTTTTTTTTAGATTAAAGAGTTTTTATATAACATATGTATAGTTGTTATATAACATATTATATAACATATATGAATTTTAAAATAAGTTAACTTTCAATATCAGGCCTTTGGTATATATGGAGCCACGTTTACTTTCTAAAGGGATAAAATTAAATTTAAAAGTAAAATTCAAACAATTTCCCCGAGTATCAGTAAAATTCCATGAGAATCCATGATTTTCAAGGGTAAAAATGAAATTCCCTGAGAATTCCCCGGTTTTTCCTAATAGTACCCACCCTAAATAAATTCACACGTATTGATTTTTACAGTCTTAGAAATGTATATACTTGTCTTAAATATTTGCAATAAATTAGATTAAGATATTAATTTTAAGAAGGTCGATTGATTTCTTCCCCCAAATACCTAATACTCGAATACCTCGATTCTTAAAATTCTAGTCGAGTGATTCTTAAAATAAATAACGAAGAGTAATTTGTAGAAAAAAAAAATATAGTCTTTCGAAAATGCTGAGCTTAAAAGAAAAATCTCACTGTAAATGTAGTTTAACTTCCCCGCTCGAGTTCTCGAAAAGTAGGTTGAATTCATCGTCGCGAACCCTTCGATTGCACAATATACCACCTGCACGCTGGAACGTTCCCGATTACATATGATCGGCAAGACGACACTTGCCGGGGGTCTCGCATACTAATTTCTTTCCGAGTGACGCGCATTGTGTTGTGTCGCAATTCAATGCCACTTGTTTTTGTCTCTAGAAGAGGAACTTAACGTAATCGTCGCTACGCTTGCTTTCTCCTGCCGTTCTCCGTTCTCCGATTCGATCTCGTCGTCTCCACGTGAACGTTTTAACGAAAATAGTCGCGCGTACGTGAAACCGGCCGTGGCACAGCACGGCCAGATGACGTGTCGCTGCGTTGCATGATTTCGCGTCAGAGTAAATAATTCAAAAAGCCGTCACGAATCTGCACGCGCACGAGAAACGTTTCGGATGACAGCCGAGCGGCCGTTTCTCTCGCAATAATAACGAATAATAGTATATCTGTCTAACGAGGCGCGGATATTATCGACGTCGAGAAGGAAGGAGCGAGAGAGATATTTCCATCGCTCGCATAAATATCTTGGAGGAAATATTCTTGGCCTTTTATCGTGTGAGCGTTCATCGCGCCAATCGAGCGGTCAATCTATTTGAAGAAGCGCGTGTATTCTCTCTCCGCGATGGGGACGATGGTACATATAATACGTGCAGCGATTAGAATATGCGGCGCGCGTATACGCGATAATCGATGCGGAAAATATTCGAAAGATCCCTCCTTTGTCTCTCGATTTTTGCTTTTATTATTTATGAAATTTATTATTTATGAATTTCCTGTACACCCATCGGATTCCCGCCGATAAAAAAATATCCGCCGAAACGCAGAAAATCTATTTCCTTTAATTAAAAAAAAAAAATTCTCTTTTCAGGACCGCAAGCTACGTCAAACGTCATCCGCCATAATCGTTCCATAATTTCTCTCCTCGATAATGGCTGAGACTGTCGAGTCTGTGAGTCACGCCGTTCAGTGACACCTGCACTGTTATATTTACATTTTACAAGGCGTATACGTTACTCAAAACGAATAAAAAAAATTAAACAGAATTATCGCCTCAGGTTCATGTGTATCTTTCATTCGCATTCCATGTGTACTCTGTCACACTTCGTGTATATCGTATATGTTCGTTTAATTTATAGCTCTATAATTAAACACAGAAAAGACTATGGAGACTAAGAACAATCGATACGCCCTGTTGGAGCGAAGAAAAAGTCTGCTCAAGTCAATCCGATCAGTACATGCAATTCAACGTGAAAAATTCCTCCTCTCAATCGACTGTCAGTGTGTTCGCAATTTAGAATGCTCCACATTTTAAACTTTAAACCACCACATCCCAAAAAAATTACACTAACCACAATGTCGGTCTGACAGACCGCTATTATGCTCTCGCTAATTTTATAATAAAAATATATGTTTTCTGAATATTTGCGATGGGTAAAAAGAAAACTTTGTTTTAATGTAACGGTTAACAAAAAAATCTCGTACACGGAAAGAACGATTTTGTTGAAAGGTCTAAAAATTTTGCTAAAAACAGATCTGAAAATAATTTTTTATTGAATCATCAAAATAATTTGTTGGAAACTGACAAGCGTTGATATAAAACGTTTTGATGTTCTAGCAATTATTTTGACTTTCGTACAAAATTATTTTGATTATTGAACAAAAATTATTTTCAGATCTGGATTCAGCAAAATTGTTCTTTTCGTGTATACAATAGAAATAAAATATATTTAAATGGTGACAAATAAGAAAATGGTTGACAAGTAACATTTCAATAGCGATTTCTGTGAGACCGATTTAGTGGTTTAAAGGTTAAGGATAAAGAATCTTCCTTCATCTCGATTTACTGTCTAATTTCGGGGGGGGGCAAAAAGGGGATGAGAGATACGCGATGAGAGATTCGATCGGCAAGAGACACGGGATCGCGGTCATGCGAGCGGACGGATTTATCGTGGCAGGGCGTGGTTACGCCGGACAACGCGACGTTCCTGCGCGTGGACAGCGCGATCGACGTTGATGAATCGCGTGGCGCGGCCGCGCCGCCGCGCGCGGCAAATCGCGCGTGTCTCGCGTTTCGGGCGTTTCGGCGCGTCGCGGGCGATCGTCGCGAGCGACGTCGCTTTGCGAAGCACGACGAATCATCGAGGAATGGTATCGGGAAGTTGGTCGCCGCCGCTGCCGCCGCCGCCGCCGCCGCCGTCGTTATCGCTGCCGCGGCGCGGCGCGGCGGCACTTGGCGCGACGCGAAGGAATTCATTCAGCGCGACAATGTTCAGGGCGTTCACTGGACGACTGGCACCGGTGGGTGACACCCCGATGCCGCGTCACCGGGATACTCGGCGCCGGCCCAGGCGCGGTCGGATCGCGTCCGTGGGGAGGGGGAGAAAAAAAAGAAAAAGGGAATGCGAGAGAAGTGTGAACTGACCTCGTCGTCTAGCTTCCCCTTGGACGCCATCTTGACAACAAGCCGGTGGCGCTCCTCGGGCTGTCCGACCTGACGTTGTTGCTCTCCGGCTACCTGCTGCTGCTGCTGCTGCTGCTGCTGCTGCCGCTGCTGCGCGCGTCGCGGCGCGTGTTAACGTCCAACGCCGTCAACAACACACGTTCCCCGTTCGCGCGGCGATCCTCCTCTACCGCAACACACACTCCGGGAGCACAAAACCCTCCTGTATACAATCCCTCCGTCCTCCGTGGCACACGCGCCAACTGATCGCGCGCGACTCAAGCTCAAGCTCAATGACTGCCGCCTCCTCCTCCTCAACTCGCGTTCGCTACACTCGTGCAGCCGAAACGCGCCGCCGCCGCCACCGCCGCCGCACCGCGCGAGCTGCTCCGAGTGCCAGTCCGTGCTCCGACGTGAACGCCCGTCGCCGAGAAAGAGACGGAGCGAGACACCGAGCGCTCGAGGGGGAGGGGGGGGGGAGGGAGACTGGAGTAGCGCCGCTCGCCGCGCGCCGAGAGAGACAGGTTGCGGTGGGACACAGGTGGCGAGACAGTTGGTGGGAGGGGGAAGGGGGCGGGGGACGGGCGGGCGTGAAAAAGAGAGACGGGCGTAGGGCGCCGTTAGCGTGCCGTGACGTCACAGTGCAACGCGCGCGCTTCTCCCGCGACGGAAGCGTGTAGCTCCTCACGAGGGGACAGCGTGATCGAAACGATGAAACGGAACGGGGTAAACCGGGGCCGTCTCGCGCTGCCGGCGGCGCGAGATCCCTTTCACTCGACAATACTCAACTCTGACGAGACGATCCTTACCGAGACGCGCGCGGGTCTCGCCGTTAATTTTCCCTCGCATCCGCCATCTTACTGTGACTGCCCCGCCCGCGTCTCTGCCCTGTCGCCCTCTGTGACGCGTGACGTCGATTACGTCGCGCGCGCCGCACCGGTGTGGCCGGTGCGGCGCGACCGGGCGCAACATGTGTATCTTCCCTTTATACACTTCACTTCCCCGCCTCCGTGGCGTTCTCTCTTTCTCTCCCTTTGCTGTGCCTCTCGTGCCCAACCTCGCCTCCCGCACGCGGACGCAGCGGCCGACTGTTACGTGTATTTACGACATTTTACGACATATGTATATGTATATACTATAGTTACAATGTAAAAAATAGATCGAGCGTGAAGAGCGCAAGGTCTGAACAATACAAGGTATGTAAAAAAGAGAGAGTAGCGGAATCATGTCTCTTTCTGTACAAAAGAAAGTACGACAGAGAGATTTCCTGCAGCCGTATATACTGTACGCAATTTTGGAATAATTTTTTTATTGTAATATTCGTAATATACCTATAGGTATTTGATATATCGGAATGATGTAATACCGGAAAAATCATGCAAAACTTTCAATTTACAGATTGTTATACTTATAAACGATACTCAAGACTATTTTCTGATTTCAAACACAATATTATTCTAGACAATATATATTTATATTCACTAATAGCAAGAATCAGGTCAATGGTTTTATAATTTATAATGATCGCCAATAATCTATAATACACAAATATATATTATTCACTAAGAATCAGGTCAATGATATGATTTTATAATTTATAATAATCGCAGTACTCTATAATACACATATAAAGATATATTACTATTGCAACATTATAGTCATAACTTTTAGATTATTTAAATTAATTATGGAAAGTTTATATATAATTATTAAAGTTTCAATTTGATATATTCTATTAATTGAACAAGTTCATTGCACGTTATTATATACTTTCATTCATTTCATTTATTTTGAAAGAAAAAAAGGACAACAACGCGCGACAACATTGATATAAATTTGATATAAAAATTTATTTAGCTATTAATTATGTCGCTGATCTAATACAATTAATATTATTGCTCAAGTTTAACAATTTATGAATTAATTATTGAAAGTTTGTATAGTTAAAGTTTCAATTCGATATATTCTATTGAACAAGCATGCATTAATTAATTGTTCATTGCACGTTATTATATACTTTCATTCGTTTAGATTTCATTTATTTTGAAAGAAAAAAAGACAGCAACGCGTAACATTGATAAACATTTATTTAATTATGTATTAGTTATGTCGCTGATCTGATAATATTATTGCCCAAATTTAACAATTTATAAATTAATTGTGGAAAATTTGTATATAATTAAAGTTTCATTTCGATATATTCTATTGAACAAGCGTGCATTGTTCATTGCACGTTATCATACTTTCATTTATTTAGATTTTATTTATTTTGAAAGAAAAAAAGGACAACATAACATTAAAGAAAATTTGATATAAAAATTTATTTAATTATCTATTAATTATGTCGCTGATCTGATACAATATTATTGCTCAAGTTTAACAATTTAACGATTTATGTTATGCAAAAGAATGTAAGGTTGTATATTTGAGCGAGAAGATTACACAGCCGCTTAATCGAATCATTTTATCATTGATTCATTATCTTAATTCCCCTTTTTCTTCGCATTTAGGTAAGATATAATTCTATTAACGTGCATATATATATCTTATTAAATTCGATGTCATCGTTCGCTTCTCAATTGTAAAAGTTACTAAAGCAACTCTCGAATATCAAAACAATCGACGCGAATACAAAATAAAAAGCCTTTTTGTGTGAGAAAAATCAGTAACTAATAATCATTTGGTGATTCCATTATCGCATAGATGTGTTAAAGCTGTCGAGATTGTAAAACAAGAGCTTATTTGTTGGTCACCTTGCCTTCCAACTGCAAGCACACGTGCACATTATTGTTTTCGTCTAACAGGCTGAACTTGATGGTCACGGTCACAGACGGAAGAGCATCCTGTATCGGCATCTTAAGGTTGTACGTTGCTTCGTCACCCTCGTCCAAGGGGCATTCGCCCTTCGTCAGGGATTTGCACGCGTCCTGCTCGGGATACGGATAGTTTATCGTAGCCCCCATAACCGTGACTTTCACGTCGGGTCTCAGCGCTTTCGCATCGGCGTCTATAAGCAAAATAAATGTATATGTAGAGATGCAAATAGAAAAAAACCAAATTGTTTTTTTCCATAAAATACGTTTTTTTTTTAGAAAAAAAATATCAGCCTTGTTTTTTTTTAGCTACCTATTTATTATCTATATTTTGCTTAATATAAGTTAATTTTTCATGATTTTTTATTGTATAGATAGTAGATTTAAATTATTATCATTTTAACCTTTACGCAGAACGAGAAAGCTAATATATTGATTCTGAAACATATTTTGAAGCAAGGACTTCAATAATTATAATAAATTCTACTTAAGGAAAAACTGTTTAGAAAGAGAATTGAACAGATTCTCCTTTTTTAAAAGTTAAATGTAGATCACGTAAAATTAATTATATAATTATATAATTACTAATTAGAATTAATTAGTCGTGCTATCGGAATTAGAAAAAAAACCAAATTTGTATTTTTTCATTGAAATAAAACAGGTTTTTTTCTAATATTTTTTTTATTAGAAAAAAACTTTTTTTACATCTCTACATGTATGATTAACAGCGGGTCGTGCAGTCGATCCCTTTCGAGATGTCGCATTAAAAATTTAAGACGTTTTACGATGGCGAAGACTATTCGATGAACCGAGCGATTAGATTTTTCGAACAGTCGAGCCGCATCGAGAACAAATTTCGAAAAGGATTCGCTGCAAATTTCGCTATTGATACAATAATGCTGGCAGAAATATCGAAAACTTTGCCAACAAATGCACGCGTTACACTGACGGCAAAAATCAAGTATAGACTTGTAACATATGCATCATCTAACGCGGATTGTTGGCGGAAATTCAACGGTAGAATCGGCCGCCAATTTGTTTCAAGGCTACGTTCAACAAATTCTGCCTGAACTTTCGTGGTCAATGCCGCCAATGTTACGCGTTCGCAAAATTCCGCGAATAATCGTTCTAACAAAATACAAGCTTGATGTCAGTCCGCTGTAATTTCTGCTCGAATCCGCACCGATCAGCTGATCTTAGACAGTAATCTTGATTTTTTCTTCTGTATGAATAACATATCCCGGGAAAAAATTTATCATATAAGAACATATATAAAAATATATAATTATATACAATTATATTCAAAATATGTCCATATATACATATATCCATATATGTTTCTTTCCTTTATAAAATTATTCTTTAATTATATTTAATATTCTTAATACAAAAAATGATAATAATAAAAAGGAAACATAGAAAATAATTTAAAAAATAATTTTTGCATTGCTTTTTTTTACAAAACAATCAAATTTGAAGAAATGAGAAAAATTGCTCATATATAATCATGTAATCATATATAAATGATTAAAAATATACATATATAATTATATACAAACAATTTTTTCTCATTTCTTAAAACTTGATTTTTGGATAAAAACAACAATGCAAAAATTATTCTTTTATAATTATTTTTTTATTATTTCTTTTTATTATTATAATTTTTCTTGTATCGAACAATAATTTTACAAAGAAAAGAAAAGCAATGCAAAAATTATTCTTTTAATTATTTTCTATGTTTCTTTTTTATTATTGTCATTTTTTGTATTAAGAATATTAAATATAATTAAAGAATAATTTTACAAAGGAAAGAAACATATATGGATATGTATGAACATATTTCGCATTTAATTATGTATAATTATATATAATTATATATTTTTATATGTTTATATTTATATGTATATGTTTTTATATGAAAAATTGTTTTCCGGACTTACTGGCGATAAAATCCCATTGCGCCTTTATATCAGTTCCTCGATAGAAATTGCAAGGAGAACTGTTGCATCCTTCTACTCTCAATGACTTGGGCTCAGGTCCATCGTCGCACGGATCATATGGAGTCTCCTGCAGAGACGCCGTGATGCAGATTGCGAAGATGATGCAGGCTGCGATATGAAGAATGTACAGTCAAATATTATACGTTTCGAAAAAAAAACACTACGTGAATCGAAAAATAAATTAACACGTGGCAAAATTTACCGGCGAGGGCTTTCATGTTGGTGTCTTCACGTAGAAACGATGGCGACCGATCTGATTTTCGGTCAGTGTGGAACTCGCGTATTTATTTGTTCGATAGTATCTAATCAAACACCTGGCTGCCCTAAAAACTGATAAGCTCCGAATCGAATAAAAAAAACCTGTCTGCAGACACTCGAGAGCTAACACCTGTGCCGATGATGTTGCAAGTTTACAGAAATTATCAGTTATAAACATGGAATTCATTGCGCACTCACCGAATGATTAGAGTAATCTGCTAGCAATTAAATAAAGCAATATCGTTGTTTTCGATAAATAGAGAGCTTCATCAGCCGCACAACGAACAAAATAATATGATATAAAATTAACTCACTCGTGTCAATCTCGTAAGCTATTTCGAAAAAATATATTTCCGACAAAGATTGTGCAAAAAGAGGAAAAGAGGAGAGGAACATGTAATGATTATTCTTCCACTTTATAAATGTTGTAGCGTCATATTCAGTTTCTAAATAAATCACAATATTTTTTTTTATTAGAAAAGATTTATTAGAAAGATTTATTAGAAAAGAAGAAGAACATGCAAAAAGATGTCGAATGCAATAATGAAGGAAAATTCTATTCAGTAAGATAATAATTCATTTTTCATCAGTCTGCCATGGCGGTACCACGACGAAGCGTTGTACCAATCGATCACGCATCCACATCGGTGTGCTTTTAATTAACACACGATAAAAGAAGTATCTCCATGACTCACATCTGAAGATAATATAGCAATCGTTACTTTCACGCATATTACATACGCAATCACTGAGAAAAAAAATTGATTGTACGAACTAAATTTGTATAGTTGTTTGATCCAATAGTCAATTCAACAATTCTTTAGTTGCACAAAGAAAGGTATAGTTCATTCATTTCAACCATAAAAATTTCTTAATGAAGAATTAACTAAACCAACTCAAAGATCGGAAGAGCACACGTCTG